ATTATGAATGTTTCATCTACATACTTTGAATAAAAACTAGTTTCCCCATTCCTATCATCTCGTAGTAGGGTAGTTAGCAGAAACTCCAGAGTATTTGGGAAGCATAGCTGTGGAGCATTCCTTGAAAGATAAGTCTGAATTCGCGGATTCAATGAAGCAAGTGAATGCATCTGGATCAACCACAGCTTCGATGGACATGGTTTCTCTATTCACTAAACTCCCATCAACGAAGAACAGTGTGGTACTGGTGTGGATTTATTGACTCAAATAATCTGAATGTTGTCATACTCACTGTGTATATCAGGGGTGTAATATGGAGTTGGACATTCAGTGTCCACTGACTTTCATTCTGTGGTTGAATTTACTGACAGCAGGATGGAGTAGGAACGGGCTCTCCACTTGTTTCACTGCTCATCGATTCATTCATGGCTTATATCCACTCCATAGTAATGGATGATATCTTCATCATCACCATCGTCATCGATGAAAACAGCGACATAATCAGCATCGTGGGAGTCTTTGACAATGCTCATCTATCATTTGAATTGAAAGTTGAAGTGAAATTAGGATGTAAGTTTTTCTTCCCAGGTGTCGAGGTTTTCAGTTGAAGAGATGGAAGTCAATGGAGATTAGTGTATCTGAAGGCAGGATGGAATTGATAGCTGACAATCTTTTGCAGTTTTGTTTGAATAAGAAGATTCAAGAGTCTCATTGTTTCTTCTGTGATGAGAATCTGCAACATATGTGTGAAGATGGATTGATTAAGGAACTGGAATTCTTCAGGAGTATCACGATAAAAAGCATTTATCTGACGTTCTTCATCGAGAAATATTTAGATAGTATGATCGACTAAAATTATCAACCTGGATTTCAAGGGGGATAAAATTAGTTAGGTTCTCCCCTGCTTCCCCTCATGGGAAACTTGAAGATCTTTGTTTTCTGCTTTTATATATATATATATATATATATATATATATATATATATATATGATTTTGTTCATCGAAACGTGAAATACAAATCCCTCTATTAGCACCTTTGTTAAGTCTTCTCTAGTTAACTTGCTTCTGTGGAGTTTATTGGATTGGTTGTGGTTGCTGAACATCGTCTAGAAACACTCATCGACATTTACCAGCATGTTTGTCGAAAAGAGAGTACTGATCAGTCGACAGCTTAATTTCAGGGCACATTAATTTTTTTTCTATCACGTTCCATCAAATGAAACTTCATTAAGAGTCATATATCTTATTTACGTTGAAGCCGTTCAAAAGGATTTCACCCACATCTTCTTCATGCAGTCGTTGCTTCAGAAATTGAAAAGAAGAAATATAAACTTTGTGTTTAGGAAAGTTTTATCCAGTATCTTTTATTACCGTGACCTTAGTGTCAGTTATCGTTTTTCCAAACAGTTGTGTAATATATTCTATGAAGTCGTTTTTAATTTTCAGTTTTATTTATTCTCGAAATTGATTTTATCTTTGTTACCTATTTCCAATCCTTCTGCATCTTGTTTGTGTTATCTGTTTTTCCCGAATGATTATTCATCACTCAACTGATTAGTTGTTAACCCTCAAAATCTGTTATTTCTCATAACTTTTATTTTGTAGCTTTTATTATTAGTTTATTCCTTTACGTTGCGTGTCGGACAAATAGCTTCAAGCTAGAGCTTTGAAGTTTCGGTAGCAGTAGTGTTTATTCCTACCATCCCCCTTTGTCAGTCTTATTACTGGCTCGGCAAGGTAAAGGAGTGTGTCAGCCGAGTATCGAACCCCGAACCACATGCATAGTTGACGAGCATTCAGCCGCTGTGCCACCGATGCACTGTGTTATTGCTAGCCGATAGTAACTATGACCTCTGTTGTCAGTTAACAAAATATGTATAACATCCTAAATCAGTGTACAGCTTTGAAGTGAAATTATGGAAAGTGATTACCTTGCTGATTCATATGTCATGGATCCATATCATATGGGAATTTTTCACACCTTGAAGAAAACCTACTCCTTGAGTTTCAGGTGTCACCTGGCTCCTAATAACAGGCTCACTAAGTATAGCGTTTATACGCACTATTATTCCATAATACCTAATCAGTCCTACTGAGTGCCTTAGCGCGCTAGTGAGTACCAGGTTATTTAGTAGCCTACCTAGCCTTCAAGTAATGGTAGCGAAACACAATACCAAAAGTTTGATTTACTTGTAAGTTTGATCGGAATGGTGATATAGTTTGTGTACAGAAGGTTAAGGTTGATTTCTGAGAAAAATTCGCCATCATTTCCGTCTGATGATGACTCAAATGGGGACTTTGGGAATGTGAGTGATCACCGGCATAGATGAAGCTCAAACATGGTGTCTGACACTGCTCAAAAACATACTGGTTTAAACTAAACTTAATAAAAACCTTAAACATCTGGAGGTGAACTACAGTTTTAGTTAGCTAAAGTTTGCTTACTTTACTGCTATACTGTTTATTTTGAGCCCTATTTATATTTCGATGCAGGGAAAATGTACTAGATTAAAATTAACTATGCTTGTTGTAACATTAGCAAAGAAATTAAAATTTAACGAAAACTCCAAAAGATTAATTCACTTTTATTCAAATGTTATATACAAATTATTTCAAACGGTTTATGATAGATTCGGAGGAAAAGGTGGAAAAGGTTCTTTTTCTTGAGTATGCATCATATTAACAGCAGCTCTGTTTTATTTCAGAATAGTTAATTCAAACAGACAGGTGTCCATGGTAACTGGTGTTGTGTTTGAATATTAATGTGATGAAATCTTCCATCAATTCCGATACAGTGATGCAAATCCAGTGATTTTTTTTCAGTAGTGTTTTAGACACTTCAGAGTTACCTTCATAAGTTAGTTCACTGTAAAATTCTAGTCACTACATTCGGCGCTAATCAATTTCAATCAGTATCAGCTATACGGCAAGTAACTCTGGGAACGGACCAAACAATAATCTGTTTGTTGCTTAACAAATATGCCGAAGGAATTACAGATGGACTGGATACACTCTGTGGAAACTGTTGAGTGAAATCCAGCTCCAGGCTATCACTTGAGTGGAAACCGAATAATAATAATAATAATTAATAACCGAAATAACGAGTTTGGCATCCAAGTTTGACATGGAGGGTATGCAAGGAGGAGATGAAACTTGTAGGTAATCGTCGGATCAACTGAAGAGGGCTTCAGAGAACAGGTTGAAATGGAGATGAACAGGCGATGAAATGGCGTATCTCATTTTTAAGCTAACGCCACATGCTTTATCCGGTGGCTATTGTCGCTTCTTAATAAACAGGCCATGTAAATCCAAGAGTACACGTTTGACTTTTGAGCTTGCTGCATCCTTAATCCATTAAATTGAGCACATTTCAGTTTATGTAAACGATATTTTCTGATTAAAGTGAGGTAAGTGTAACGCAATTCAAGAATACAATGCCACCGAAAATCTGTATGTGAAGAAAATAATGTTTAATGGAAATTGTAATTTAAAAAGCATATACAAAATATAATTTGTCACCAGATCACCATAGCGACGGATTACGACGCGACAATTAGCGGGGATACGCAATAAAGTCAATTGAGGGGTGTGCTGTTGAAGCCCTGTGTTACATCCGGAACCCAAGGGAATCGTAATATAACAATAATAGTAAGAATTAAAATAATCAACTATGCAGTAATAGAAAGTGTTCCTAACTTAGAATCAAGAAAGAAAATTCGGCAAAGTTAAAAAGTATTAACTCAAGTCTGTGTCTGTGTGTGCATTAACGACATGGAAGCGTCCGGTCAAAGTTTGTAGATTATATCGAATTCATAACGGATAGGTCGAGTCTATTAATAATGATGAGTGGTGCTCAGAATTTAAGGAAATAACATCCTCCCGAAAATTACCATACAGTAAATCCTAACCAATAATAATTCTAGAATACAGCTCTTGACCACAAACGACAGTCATCTAGATGATTTATATCGATGCTCATGAGTAAAACTAAGAGTTATCTTAGAGAAATTTTAAAGAATTATGTCTTGTTTGACATTCCTACGCTTCGTTGAAAGTTCTTTCTAAGAATATACTATATTTTACAGCTAAATTAGCTTGATTTAGTCTGATCCGCCTCTACAGGGTCCTTCGTATGGATTGATTACTTAAATCACTAATTTTTAAAAACTTGTTATGAATCTTTCATCACTATGGTAAGTAATTTCAACACCTCTTATTTCACATTGAAAAATAAACAATGCGAATATATCAACAAAATAATGCCTTCAAGCCTGGAGGTCAAATATGATAAGTTTATGGAGTATAAAAGCAAGATAGAGATCTACTAAACTAGATTTGATTTAATTCTGTTAGGTTTTAACGAGGGGCGTCAGTGATAGAGCGGTTAGGAAGCTCATCGACCATGCACATGGTCCGGGGTTCGATCTCCGGCCGACGCACTCCTTTGGTAAAGGGGGAAGTTAGGGTGTGAGGCTAGCAACCCCATCCTGTAAAAATAAACACTGCTACAGAAACTTCAAGCCACTAGCTTGAAGCCCTATGTTCCACTGGGACTGTGAAGGAAAAAAGTAGTTTTAGCGAGTACCTTTAGTATATGAGCCATAATAATTTGTTCGTTCTTCAAGTATGGGAAGTGTAGTTTTGGATAGCTTTGTCTATTCATGGTAGTATATTTTAGAGTTTTCTTAACCAACAGGTATTTTTTGGAAGAGGACCTAATCAGTGCTATATTTGTGTCGAACACATTCAAAAAATGTAAATATTTTTGAACATCGAAAGTTAGACAAATAAACGGAAAAATTAATTTGATCTATTGTACATAATGATGGTGTTAATTATAATAATAATTATTTATTATATATACCACTTAATACATGAGTCTGTTTATTATGTATTTTATGTTCTCATATTTCAAGGTATGATTGTATTAGTCTATATGTAATAACTGCAAATGATAGTAATGGTATTAATGAATAATTCTGACTCTATATATGTAAATAATTATGACAAATATAGAAACTGGATTTATATATAAATATAGGCAAAGGTTTAACCGAACCACTGCTTTATTTTGTCAGTATTTCGAAAACTCTTCGGTTATGAATCGATTGTTTTGGATAGGTATTGCTTGTACTCTTGTACTCGCCATCATTTCTAGCTTCAGTACTGGTAAGTGAACTTATAGATTAGTATCCTTAGTTTACTGAAAACACTTTCTTACGACATTGTATTTTTTTAAATGGAGAAAACATTTATACTACTTGTAATGTGTAGTTAGTAGTTAGACTAATAAATGATCATTATCGGTCATTAAATGTGGTAACTTGTTGGAATTTTATATCTTGAGAGATTAGTGATGAAAGCATTTTTCAATGTGCTCTGTTTCTTGGTGTTTCCTAGATGCCGTTCCAAGTAAAAGGTGAGCTGAAAATTTTATATTGGTATTCTTGAACGTTTCAAGTTATCGTTTCAATGTTATTAAGTAGTGTGTGGAGTTTAATTGAAAAAAAAAACTGGGTGACTGCCTCTTAGTTGCCAACTTGACAGCGTATAGACTGAAATATGACGCCCAGAAACTGATGAGGTCTTCAGTTCACCTCAGAGGTTGGGGATTTAGTCTTTCCTGTGAAATAGGCTCTGAGGAAGTAAAAGCTTAACAAATAGAACAGTCCAGCAAAGTGAAAACAACTATGCCAGAATATTCACACGAGCTACAAATCTTCGTTATTTTCAATAAGCACGGTTATGTGGATTTCGACACCATTCACCAGAAGGCGTTTTGTTATTGCATTAATGAAGTACAATATAAATACTGTTGGAAAACTTCTAGAATTTCAATTAGTGAAAATCGTTATCAATTGGCTTGACATGAAGAACTTAATAGGACCTATTCATCAATAGTTAGAAGCATTTATCAATAACAAAAAGTTTAGTTAGTTGTTTCCATAATTTATGTTATCACTCTTCCCATATGTATCTTGATAAATCATACTGCCTTTTAGACCAGTGAGGTATGTTTTTGTTATCCTACCCATTCACACTGTATATTTAGTTCATATTAATCAGTCATTCAATGCCTAATTAAAATGATCGAGGTGTCTTGAAATTATTCATATAAAGTCGTTGTAAAAGTTGGATATTGATATAATCTCTAGTATGAAGTAATAAGTAAAATGGGATATATATCAGCATTCCCATTTATAAGTCACAACATGACACTCTTGCCCCTTAGGATAATTTGTCATGAGATGAAGATACTTATTGTTCTTAAAGGGATAGAAACTTAGTTAATAACTAATCAGACTGAACCACATTTATTCTTTGAATTCCAGTGTTATGCTGGAGGAATCTAACTGTATGGTATTTATTCTGGAATCACACAACATTTTTAAGACTAATTCGGATTTTCCTAGTGAAACAGGATTTTTAGTCGCATGAAGGAAAGGGTTGTGCAAGGACTTCAAAGAGAGGTATCTTTACAGATTTTCCACCGGAGAACGATACAACATGCTAAAAATCAGCTTCATGTTTGTGAAGAACCGTATTCACCAGAATACTTCAACAGCTTGATAAGTAAATCTGTCAGTGGCCTGTAATCTCTGTATACTTCAAGACACTTAAAGCACAAGTCGATGCAGTTCTTAGTGTAGTTATTAACTGAATAATGAATCTCAGAAAAGCATGAAATCCATGTTCACTGCTAATTTCTGGTCAGCTCTACATTTAACACCAAAACTCTGGTCTTTAGCATTTTTGATTACATGAAAACTTTCAATCCTGGAAGTTAACTTGCGTAAAATTTTGTAATGTCCTGTCTCAACCCTTATGTATTCAGAATACTTTTACTTTCTATCAGTCATTAATGTGATGAGAATGCTATACGAAAACTTTCTATTTGGCTGTTATTATTCCGAACATAAATCACAAGACACCGTTTCTTGTTAATGTGTTCATATATTCGTAAAAAAACCTACAATAGCAGTTGTAGTATTTCATGCAAGTATCACTTTATCGGGTGCGATTACGTTGATATGGAGCTGATGACTGCCAATCCGCAGCTGAAAGTAGAAGTTAACTGAATGAGGTCCAAGAAGACACAGAAACTTGAATTCAGCGACTCCAAGTGGCATGGCTCAAAATTCATTCAAGTGATACAAATTGCCATTTGAACCACTTAGCTGTCTGTTGATTAGAAATGAATGAAATACTGTTATTGAGAAAACCAGCCTGTTCATAACCTGTCTGTTTTTTGAAGAAATTCCTTCAAACGATAGTATCAAAATTTAATTAACTGAGTTGTGTAGTATAAACTTTATGGTTTAAACACCGGAATCGAAGTAAAAACATTAAGATCTGAACATCTGAAGGTAACTTTTACGATGCTAAGTAAACAGATTTATTTAGGAAAAAAATCCTGAGTAGATAACCCTAAACTAGCCAGTTGGATGGCTGACTTCCGTCACTAACTGGTCATCATTTTCGTGCAGAGTACTGTATGATATATGAGCATATAGTTCATTTTTCACTTGATTAAGATGCATTGATTCGGTGATATTAAACATATTGTATTTTTTTGCTTAAGTTTACTACAGTTATTCAATAGTTCTATGGTACATTAAGTTAAATTTTATAACCATAATAATCTATGATTACTTATCTCAGACCACCAGTGTGAGTAGACGTGATTTATTTTTTTAGTAAATCTTCTTAACACGTTTATACCTCAGGAGGGTAATTTTTTCTGTTAAAAATGGAATTTGCTTAGTTAATTCGTTAATTATAATTTATTTTGGGCTTTAAATATCTAGGTTTCATTATTTTTAAAAGGAAATTTAACTTTTCTCCACATTATACTTTTATCGACTGAAATGAGAACCATTTTTATGTAATTTAGTTTCATGGTTATACTTTGATTGGACACTAGCCAGTAACTAGTATGATATGTCTAGTCCTATCTTTGGTGTAGACTGAATTCTGTTAGTCAGGTTCGCAATGGGGTCGTCATTCTAGGTAGTTCGACATCACGATGCACATTGATTTGATGACATTAGGTGGTTGGAGGCAATCAACAGGAAGTCTTACCTGACCGGGGTTTCATGCTAATTGGCACTCACTAGTCACTAAGGCGTATCTGCAATCTTGAGGGAACTCATGTCCTTTCTGAGATTCGAATCTTCGTCAGCCAGTGTCACCTCCAGTCGGAGATGTTACCAAATGAACTGTAGGACTGTAGTGGATACTTTGATTGGATACTGGTGATTAGTGTGGTGTGTTTGGTCCTTTCTTTGGTGAAAAATGAATTTTATCAGTCAGGTTTGTTTGTTTGTTTTTTTTTTTTTGGTTATTTTTATGAGCTGAGCAATAGAATTTATCGAATATTGAGAGCCAAGACATGTTATTCACTGTTTATGATTATCAATATTTTTCATAAAGGCTTTTAATTACACCCTAAAGTGTTCTATAGTAACATGAGTGATAAAGATTAGATGGGCATTCGTTTTGACATTTGCGAAGGAGTGAGAGCTTTTCCGGGGATGAGGAGTTCGGCAAATACGTGTCTGAACAACTCTCCTTCCACTCTCAGGAAGAGGTCAAGTTTTCACTAACAGAGATAATAAAAAAGAGGAACCATAATATAAACGAGAGTCTTCTTTGTAACAGTTATAATTCTTCATATTTCAGATATAAAATTAAGTTATTAAAGCGAGTCACTGTGTAGACTTCTTCCAAAAAGTTCCCAGAGATAATCGAATAGACTGGTTACGCCACATGCTGAGTGACGCGTACAATCTAAAAACACAGGATATGTCTGAAATACGATACTGTATTAAACATACAAACCTCGAATTGTAGGGTGTTTATGGCTGAATGCTGAAATTCACAGTCACTGTGAGTCAATAAGTAAAATAGTAGACCTATGTCAAAGGGAATCCACATGTAGATTAAACAGCACGCGAATACTAGATAAAATGATAAAGGGATTTGAATGCACAATGTTCAACAGAAAACGGAACATAAATGAAGCATATGCAGCAGAAAATGTTCAACTATAAGAAAACAATTACCATTCATCAAGTAGAGTAGAGTAGTAATACATTAGGCGAGTTGAACTTCAAGTGCAAACAAAAGTCTGTTAAATAAATGATAGATATAAACCGTACTACTTAATAATGGTAAGTAGTATAGAGTTGAACACAAAAGAAGGAATAACAAAGGGCAGATAGGAAAGGAATTAACACACTGCCTATTTTTATTTTATTTTTTTTTTTTTTTGACTTACAGCTTGATTCCACACTGTATTTTTGGTACAAGTATGGAATTTTCAGCATGGATATCGGTAGCCCAAATTTCGCAGGCCGACCATAGATATCAGGTGTGCGCCGGCGTGGGCTCGAACCCCGGACCATGTGCATGGTCGGCGAGAGTCCTAACCACTGTGCCACCGACGCACCACATAAGACTAAAAGCTCTGCTCTTAGTGTCTAGTATGTGTTGACTTTCCAACTTGTAGCTTCGTAATCAACTGTCAACATCCTGTTTTCATTTGTTAATAAGTAAGCCTTTTTCTTGAAATATATCAAAGTAGATCCATAGATATCGGTTCACGCCTGGTTTGAAGAGACTTATACACCAAATCTACATTCATTGTGTGTTAAAAAGTTTCTATCATAAAGGAAATAATGTTTCCCTTGTGATTAACTAAATAGTTATCAGTTTCACTTCTAGTTCGTGAATATTACTCCAAATAATTGGAACACTGAATGAAAAATTCACGTCATTAATATTCAAGTGCTGGTTTGTAAGAATTTGATTGGTTTCAGGATTTCATCATGAGCTGACATTAGTTAGAGAACCACTGAAAAACCACCTGGGAGTCCTGGACAGCTGTTTCGTCCTACTTTGGGACTCTTCACCAGTACGCACCCACCGGGATTCGAACCCAGGACTTTTCGGTTACAAAGCGAGCTCGCCGAAGACATTGGCTAGCGGCCGCGCTATGTCGTGAATTGGCAGAAGTTAGAATTCATGGGCCATTGGATCGGGTCCCAGTGGCTTAATGGTATACGAGCTGGCTCACCTTGTAACCAAAAGATCTTGGGTTCGAGGCCCGTTGGTGGGTGGGTGCGTACTGATGGAGGGTCCCAGACTAGTACGAAACAGCTGTCCAGCACTCCCAGGTTTCCCAACGGTTCTCAAACTAATGTCAGCTCATGATGAAATCCTGAAATTCACGTCATTACTAAACAGAAAGGTCATGCAGATATACATGCCTGTATATAGTTGATGAATATAACCAACTGATTTCTGTAAATTTCACAAATAAGCAACTTGTGATTTGAAAAGAATATAAGCAACTTTTATTTATCGTTTAGGAGGCCAGGAGCTAAACCAGGGTAAGTGTTAACTGATATCTAAAACTGTTAAGAGTTGAGTTTGTGTTGTAATTTCATTTGCATTACATTCTGTTAGTAAATAACTAATAGAATTACCAAATTCCCTGTCAAGAGGTGAAATAAGCCATCAAGATCTTTTACATTATTCCAGTGTAAATTTCTTCATTAATCGACATCAGTCGGAGAAGGAGGGAGGGGGAATCAGTAAAATGCAGAGCACAGTGGACTGATGCTCTCTCCCAATTTAGAACTCTTTATTAGTACTCACCAATGCGCCTATCAGAGATCCACCCCACAACGCTTCATCAGAATCCCACGTTGAAGTGAATGCATATTTGTATGCATTTGAAAAGAATCAAAGAAATAAAATATCACCAATTTAGCCTGCTCAGTTTGTCGGTCATGCTTTGTTCAAGTTTATTGAAGGAAAATAGTTGAATGAATCCAAATTACCGGTGTTCTACATTACTTAGAACGTCTTTGTGTAATTAGTTGTACGGAGATTGTGCCATTTAAGTATATTTTACTTGATTTATTGAAAAAAATTGCCTTGTAAGTTAGAGTCATCAAAATATCTAAAAATAGGACTTGTAACTTTTACTTACGTAATGATAAAAAAACGGCATATTTTTTGTTTATGCAGTCTGCATTATCAGCACTCAATTATAACATTCTGGCTAGCTTATTGTATTAGCATAATGTATTCCTTCTTAATTTAAGCCATTTATGATTATGGTTTCGCTGTGAATAGAAGTTATTATAGCTTAATACAGTAATCTGTTGCTCATTTAACTGGTGATGAGTGGAGTGAATCGAGCATGTGGATTGCTGCAGGATTCACAATTGACCAGTAATTTGGAGGCTTTTGAAAACCAAGGAGTATTGGATAAGTGTTTCATTTTGGTGTGTCACTCTGCACACCCATGAAACGGCCAGCAATCGTTCCCAAGAGGTTCAGATTACTAGGTGAGTGAGTGCCTTACCATTCAGCAGCTTGAATGAAATCCAGTGGTTCATGAATTTCACCCGCTGGAGTTAAATGACAGCGGTGAGTATCTGTCTTCACATGCGACTTGGTGGACGCCACCAGTAACTAATTCTCATATGAACTCCATCAACTAGTGATTCAGTTGATCAAGAAGAAACCAACACTTGATAAAAGAAACAGTGGTAACCTTCAGCATAATTTTTCAATGCGATAAGTGAAATAGATGTGCTTAGCGTAGGTGAGTTAATTTATGCAAATTGATACTCTTCATGAATTTAGATAGTTTTTAATTTACTGTTTAGTAATGAAAACACAAGGTATTTATTCATCATGATAAGGATAATTTCATATTAATTACAGAGTTCCACCTGCATCTCCGTGAGTTGTAAAATTTTCTATTGTTATTGTTATTCGTAATATGTACATCAAAAGTGAAAATATTTCATCAGAGATGTGTACAGTGTAACTTAGAATATTCTATATTCATTCACATATCTCAACAAGTATTTACTGCATAAGTAAAACACCACTCAGAATTCAATTATGAAATAATTTTTCACATTTCACTTTTTTTACGAGTTCATCACGTATTGATACCAGTTAGAGAACCATTGAAAACACCACTGGAGAGTACTGGACAACTACTCCATCCTGGTTTGGGAATCACCAGCAGTACGCCCCTAGGGGGTTTGGAACCCAACACCTTCTGGTTATAAGGCAAGCTCGTATACCATTAAGCCACTAGGACCCATTCTGCTCGCCAACTCATGTACTAAGGGAAACGGAAAGCAGAAAACGAATGACTAAGGAATGAGTCATTGAGAAATAGAGTAAAAGATGAGAAATTTACATGAGAATGGAAGACTAGAGATTTTTCTAAAAATTGGGATCATAAAATAGAAAGAACCAAAAAACGATGGAAGCCACATTTAATCAGTTATTGTAGGTATAAATGATTATCATGGAACGCAAGTAATTTTAGCCTCATGCATTGTTCAAAAGAGTAACGATAAGAAGAAGATAGAGGAGATTAGGAAGATGAGGAGGTAGGTGGTGAAATCGCTACACTCCACATTGAAATGCAAACCAACTCATGTACCCTCATAGTGACACACCAAGAATAAGATATGCTAATTCCCAGCATTCTACACAGAAAGAACAGTGGTTTACATTCTCCTGTCAAGTGAGCTTTATAACCACTATGTGTTCAGTGCTGTCCACAGAATTAGACAGAGGAGTGGCTGGTCAGTCAACCAGTCAGTATTAAGTGATTTAAGTAGAATAAAAGAAGAAAGTTAATCTCGATCAGTCGTCGTGAATGTCAAAGTATCTCACGTGCAAGTCTAAGAGTGAAGTGAGAATTCACCATCATTTTACTGCAAACAGATATACATTGGACTTCCCGGGGGAGAGAACTGTGCATGGCAACATATGATTCACTGTCTGAGTGAAACGATCCCTCCATCCCTCCTCGAATAACTTGGTGATGGCAGTCTTCTCCTAAATTTGAACTCAGAAATCCGTCAAACGATTAGTAGTGTGAGACTGTATTTAGATCGATTCATTGATCCATTCATTCGTGCAGATGAACATTTGATGATGAGATTTATGTCGTATGCAGTCAGTAGATTCATTTTCATGTATATCAATCAGATTGACATGTGAAATTAATTATGCATTACACAAACAGAACTCATCGTCTAAGTAACGTAACACAATCGATTTTACATCAACCGTTACAGAGCTAAATCAGTACCTCCACCGTAAGTCATTATGACTTGTGTGTATTTCACTTTGAGTTAAACTATCGGATGGTGTGTATATTTATTCGCTACAAACGATGTTGGTCACATGTTCCCAGTGTCAGTAGAGTTGGGTGGTTTCATCTACCCTTACAGCTACTTAGGAATATACTATGTAGTCACAACATAAAGTGATGGGTGTGTCCTTCGTCGGTTCATGTTTTGTTGACCATGAAAATAGGTAGATTGGTGGACACAACAGATGTATTACTGTGGTTCAAATGGTGTCACGGTTTCAGAAAGACGTGAATTTGTCTAGTGATTTGACTTTGGAGACACTTTTGAACATTGAAATTTTGTTCACCTGTATTATGGGAACTGATTGGACCAGTTTATCCTCTCGTTATACAATTCTGTAGAGTTCTTTAAAGGCTCCAATGTTATTCCCATTTCATATGTGTTGAACATCTCTGAACAAACATTTAACTGATGCCATTATATACTGGAACCAATGGACACTATGGTAATTTATATACAACATATATACCACACAGGTTTCCTCTAGACAGGTGGTCCTGTCGACACATCATGTTGCCGAATTGTAAGTACGCCGGAAATGATAAAGATTTTCATTAGCAGAATTAGTTGACAGGTCATGTTTCTTCTTATGTGTAAAAGAAGTGTGAGTCTTGACAAAATTCTGATTAGTTCAATCTTTTTGTTTGGATAGTCTGGGTTTTTGACCTGAACCTGTCAACTGATGGTTTGCCTTTTCTACTTTTGAAACTTTTTCATTTTGTTGAGTTTGGTCAAGCTTGAGTGATTCACCAGAAGTTCCAAACGCACCCTCACTCTCAGCTGTAATGTTTCTGTGAATCCATCATAAAATCCCCATCACCATGAAAATTAGAAGTGCTCTCCATAAAACACTTAGCATGGTTTTTAAAATTTTCATTTTCTCAGGTGCCAGAAGATAAGTCTATTAATAAACCAGTTAACTCAGAACTTGGTGGCAGTGGTTTAGGGCTGAAGTTTTGGTTTAAGTATGATTTTTCACTCGTTCCACTCAGACTGTAGTTTGAATTGTTTAAAGTTGAGTAGATCTAGTTAAAATGAGGAGTATTGATTTGTACAGGATTTACAGGATATTATCCATAGTAATATCGTTTGAGGGGGAACGATGGTTTGTGGCGGGCCAACTTGAATTGTATCTCTGTTCCATTCTACAAAAATTAACACAATTGTCACCTCGATAGACTCCTCATTATGAATTTGTTTTCTGTTAACTTTTATAGAGCCAAGCCAGCAGCTGCACCGTAAGTCACTATCTATTGTATGAGTTTTACATCGTAGTGAAATATCAGGTGAGATCTATATTTACTCATTGTCCTCTAAACTTTTATATTTCATGGTAGATGGCTATGATATATGATGTGTTATTCGCTTGCTTCCATTTATCATGGAGGTATATGGATTTTTCATCTGAAGTAATGTGTGAAAAAAATATTTGTCGATTTCAAATGTCACAGCTATTTTCAAAAAATATGTCTTTTTATGTCACATATTTCTCTGTCAGCTGTACATTTTTCACTGATCATTCAAAAGGGATTCACTCATCGAGATGAGACTAATTATAATAAAATCAACATGGGTAGAATGAGTTCCACTTTCAAGATCTTTCTGAGTTCATGCGAAAATGGAAGAATGAAGTTAGATTGATTTAGTAGCTTCCAATTTATTTTATTCAAAGCTTACGACCCTCAAAACACTCTGTATATTATCTGTTTGTCTGGACAACTGGAGTAATTCTTTTTCTTTTTTTTTGTGTGGGGGGGGGCGTGAACCATGTGTAATAGATGTTTCTGATGATTTTGTAAGCTTCATTGCTATCATTGCTGAATTACTGAGATTTATTCGAAATTCTGTCTGATAGTGGAAGCAGTGACATGGCAATGAAAGTTAAGCTGAATTCACTTAATCTTTGGATTCAATCGGTTGAAATGAATTTTGTGACACTCAAGAAATTGTAGTGTAAGGGAATTCAGTCTGAACAGTCATACCTTTGGAAGTAACTGATTCATAAAATCAGAGGAGAGTATGGTGGAAGAGGATTTCCTAGTATGGTTGACTGTTGAGCGTTTGAATATGGAATCGGTATTTAGTTATGCTGACATCATATATCATCTGTTTCAAAGAAAGTTGATGAATTGCGAATTGTCATGGTGTTTTGTTCAAATGCTTTTTGGAATTATGACTGATATCAATCGTCTTAGAATGACATCTGCAAAGCGGTTATAGTCTTTACCCTCCAGGAAGTGATAGCAGTTGAAAGTACAGCAATTAGACAATTCACTCCGGAAAACCAATGGATTTGCCAAATACTCCAGTCTCATTGGGACAGGACATCTTTTCCGGTTGTTTCATTGTAAACCTGATTGCGACTAAAATTTGCTAGGAACACTGAAAAAAGTAGCATGGGTGACCAAATGAAAATGATAATATCAATATATTCAGCATACCGACTTTCAAAGGCTGTCACCCTCATTATTGATGTTGGTTGAGTCAGCGGCTAGTTAACCCAGAGGTATTTTTCCTAATCAGACAGCATAATTCATCATGAATGATTCTAATCTCCATAGGCAAGCAAAAAAACAACTTTTGGAAGAATAGTTTGAAACTAACATGAAAAATCGCCTTTAAGAGAACTAGTTGGCTTCGCAAATGTGCTCCACAGACGTATTACTCAGTAGTCAGTGTAATCATTAATCAAGACAATCAATAATCAGATGCCAGATTAGTAGATAGAATCACAATATAGATCACAAGTAGCACTTATCCTGTAAGAAGTATAACGCAATGGATTTTACATCAACCGTTACAGAGCTAAATCAGTACCTCCACCGTAAGTCATTATGACTTGTGTGTATTTCACTTTGAGTTAAACTATCGGATGGTGTGTATATTTATTCGCTACAAACGATGTTGGTCACATGTTCCCAGTGTCAGTAGAGTTGGGTGGTTTCATCTACCCTTACAGCTACTTAGGAATATACTATGTAGTCACAACATAAAGTGATGGGTGTGTCCTTCGTCGGTTCATGTTTTGTTGACCATGAAAATAGGTAGATTGGTGGACACAACAGATGTATTACTGTGGTTCAAATGGTGTCACGGTTTCAGAAAGACGTGAATTTGTCTAGTGATTTGACTTTGGAGACACTTTTGAACATTGAAATTTTGTTCACCTGTATTATGGGAACTGATTGGACCAGTTTATCCTCTCGTTATACAATTCTGTAGAGTTCTTTAAAGGCTCCAATGTTATTCCCATTTCATATGTGTTGAACATCTCTGAACAAACATTTAACTGATGCCATTATATACTGGAACCAATGGACACTATGGTAATTTATATACAACATATATACCACACAGGTTTCCTCTAGACAGGTGGTCCTGTCGACACATCATGTTGCCGAATTGTAAGTACGCCGGAAATGATAAAGATTTTCATTAGCAGAATTAGTTGACAGGTCATGTTTCTTCTTATGTGTAAAAGAAGTGTGAGTCTTGACAAAATTCTGATTAGTTCAATCTTTTTGTTTGGATAGTCTGGGTTTTTGACCTGAACCTGTCAACTGATGGTTTGCCTTTTCTACTTTTGAAACTTTTTCATTTTGTTGAGTTTGGTCAAGCTTGAGTGATTCACCAGAAGTTCCAAACGCACCCTCACTCTCAGCTGTAATGTTTCTGTGAATCCATCATAAAATCCCCATCACCATGAAAATTAGAAGTGCTCTCCATAAAACACTTAGCATGGTTTTTAAAATTTTCATTTTCTCAGGTGCCAGAAGATAAGTCTATTAATAAACCAGTTAACTCAGAACTTGGTGGCAGTGGTTTAGGGCTGAAGTTTTGGTTTAAGTATGATTTTTCACTCGTTCCACTCAGACTGTAGTTTGAATTGTTTAAAGTTGAGTAGATCTAGTTAAAATGAGGAGTATTGATTTGTACAGGATTTACAGGATATTATCCATAGTAATATCGCTTGAGGGGGAACGATGGTTTGTGGCGGGCCAACTTGAATTGTATCTCTGTTCCATTCTACAAAAATTAACACAATTGTCACCTCGATAGACTCCTCATTATGAATTTGTTTTCTGTTAACTTTTATAGAGCCAAGCCAGCAGCTGCACCGTAAGTCACTATCTATTGTATGAGTTTTACATCGTAGTGAAATATCAGGTGAGATCTATATTTACTCATTGTCCTCTAAACTTTTATATTTCATGGTAGATGGCTATGATATATGATGTGTTATTCGCTTGCTTCCATTTATCATGGAGGTATATGGATTTTTCATCTGAAGTAATGTGTGAAAAAAATATTTGTCGATTTCAAATGTCACAGCTATTTTCAAAAAATATGTCTTTTTATGTCACATATTTCTCTGTCAGCTGTACATTTTTCACTGATCATTCAAAAGGGATTCACTCATCGAGATGAGACTAATTATAATAAAATCAACATGGGTAGAATGAGTTCCACTTTCAAGATCTTTCTGAGTTCATGCGAAAATGGAAGAATGAAGTTAGATTGATTTAGTAGCTTCCAATTTATTTTATTCAAAGCTTACGACCCTCAAAACACTCTGTATATTATCTGTTTGTCTGGACAACTGGAGTAATTCTTTTTCTTTTTTTTTGTGTGGGGGGGGGCGTGAACCATGTGTAATAGATGTTTCTGATGATTTTGTAAGCTTCATTGCTATCATTGCTGAATTACTGAGATTTATTCGAAATTCTGTCTGATAGTGGAAGCAGTGACATGGCAATGAAAGTTAAGCTGAATTCACTTAATCTTTGGATTCAATCGGTTGAAATGAATTTTGTGACACTCAAGAAATTGTAGTGTAAGGGAATTCAGTCTGAACAGTCATACCTTTGGAAGTAACTGATTCATAAAATCAGAGGAGAGTATGGTGGAAGAGGATTTCCTAGTATGGTTGACTGTTGAGCGTTTGAATATGGAATCGGTATTTAGTTATGCTGACATCATATATCATCTGTTTCAAAGAAAGTTGATGAATTGCGAATTGTCATGGTGTTTTGTTCAAGTGCTTTTTGGAATTATGACTGATATCAATCGTCTTAGAATGACATCTGCAAAGCGGTTATAGTCTTTACCCTCCAGGAAGTGATAGCAGTTGAAAGTACAGCAATTAGACAATTCACTCCGGAAAACCAATGGATTTGCCAAATACTCCAGTCTCATTGGGACAGGACATCTTTTCCGGTTGTTTCATTGTAAACCTGATTGCGACTAAAATTTGCTAGGAACACTGAAAAAAGTAGCATGGGTGACCAAATGAAAATGATAATATCAATATATTCAGCATACCGACTTTCAAAGGCTGTCACCCTCATTATTGATGTTGGTTGAGTCAGCGGCTAGTTAACCCAGAGGTATTTTTCCTAATCAGACAGCATAATTCATCATGAATGATTCTAATCTCCATAGGCAAGCAAAAAAACAACTTTTGGAAGAATAGTTTGAAACTAACATGAAAAATCGCCTTTAAGAGAACTAGTTGGCTTCGCAAATGTGCTCCACAGACGTATTACTCAGTAGTCAGTGTAATCATTAATCAAGACAATCAATAATCAGATGCCAGATTAGTAGATAGAATCACAATATAGATCACAAGTAGCACTTATACTGTAAGAAGTATAACGCAATGGATTTTACATCAACCGTTACAGAGCTAAATCGGTACCTCCACCGTAAGTCATTATGATTTGTGTGTATTTCACTTTGAGTTAAACTATCGGATGGTGTGTATATTTATTCGCTACAAACGATGTTGGTCACATGTTCCCAGTGTCAGTAGAGTTGGGTGGTTTCATCTACCCTTACAGCTACTTAGGAATATACTATGTAGTCACAACATAAAGTGATGGGTGTGTCCTTCGTCGGTTCATGTTTTGTTGACCATGAAAATAGGTAGATTGGTGGACACAACAGATGTATTACTGTGGTTCAAATGGTGTCACGGTTTCAGAAAGACGTGAATTTGTCTAGTGATTTGACTTTGGAGACACTTTTGAACATTGAAATTTTGTTCACCTGTATTATGGGAACTGATTGGACCAGTTTATCCTCTCGTTATACAATTCTGTAGAGTTCTTTAAAGGCTCCAATGTTATTCCCATTTCATATGTGTTGAACATCTCTGAACAAACATTTAACTGATGCCATTATATACTGGAACCAATGGACACTATGGTAATTTATATACAACATATATACCACACAGGTTTCCTCTAGACAGGTGGTCCTGTCGACACATCATGTTGCCGAATTGTGAGTACGCCGGAAATGATAAAGATTTTCATTAGCAGAATTAGTTGACAGGTCATGTTTCTTCTTATGTGTAAAAGAAGTGTGAGTCTTGACAAAATTCTGATTAGTTCAATCTTTTTGCTTGGATAGTCTGGGTTTTTGACCTGAACCTGTCAACTGATGGTTTGCCTTTTCTACTTTTGAAACTTTTTCATTTTGTTGAGTTTGGTCAAGCTTGAGTGATTCACCAGAAGTTCCAAACGCACCCTCACTCTCAGCTGTAATGTTTCTGTGAATCCATCATAAAATCCCCATCACCATGAAAATTAGAAGTGCTCTCCATAAAACACTTAGCATGGTTTTTAAAATTTTCATTTTCTCAGGTGCCAGAAGATAAGTCTATTAATAAACCAGTTAACTCAGAACTTGGTGGCAGTGGTTTAGGGCTGAAGTTTTGGTTTAAGTATGATTTTTCACTCGTTCCACTCAGACTGTAGTTTGAATTGTTTAAAGTTGAGTAGATCTAGTTAAAATGAGGAGTATTGATTTGTACAGGATTTACAGGATATTATCCATAGTAATATCGCTTGAGGGGGAACGATGGTTTGTGGCGGGCCAACTTGAATTGTATCTCTGTTCCATTCTACAAAAATTAACACAATTGTCACCTCGATAGACTCCTCATTATGAATTTGTTTTCTGTTAACTTTTATAGAGCCAAGCCAGCAGCTGCACCGTAAGTCACTATCTATTGTATGAGTTTTACATCGTAGTGAAATATCAGGTGAGATCTATATTTACTCATTGTCCTCTAAACTTTTATATTTCATGGTAGATGGCTATGATATATGATGTGTTATTCGCTTGCTTTCATTTATCATGGAGGTATATGGATTTTTCATCTGAAGTAATGTGTGAAAAAAATATTTGTCGATTTCAAATGTCACAGCTATTTTCAAAAAATATGTCTTTTTATGTCACATATTTCTCTGTCAGCTGTACATTTTTCACTGATCATTCAAAAGGGATTCACTCATCGAGATGAGACTAATTATAATAAAATCAACATGGGTAGAATGAGTTCCACTTTCAAGATCTTTCTGAGTTCATGCGAAAATGGAAGAATGAAGTTAGATTGATTTAGTAGCTTCCAATTTATTTTATTCAAAGCTTACGACCCTCAAAACACTCTGTATATTATCTGTTTGTCTGGACAACTGGAGTAATTCTTTTTCTTTTTTTTTTGTGGGGGGGGCGTGAACCATGTGTAATAGATGTTTCTGATGATTTTGTAAGCTTCATTGCTATCATTGCTGAATTACTGAGATTTATTCGAAATTCTGTCTGATAGTGGAAGCAGTGACATGGCAATGAAAGTTAAGCTGAATTCACTTAATCTTTGGATTCAATCGGTTGAAATGAATTTTGTGACACTCAAGAAATTGTAGTGTAAGGGAATTCAGTCTGAACAGTCATACCTTTGGAAGTAACTGATTCATAAAATCAGAGGAGAGTATGGTGGAAGAGGATTTCCTAGTATGGTTGACTGTTGAGCGTTTGAATATGGAATCGGTATTTAGTTATGCTGACATCATATATCATCTGTTTCAAAGAAAGTTGATGAATTGCGAATTGTCATGGTGTTTTGTTCAAGTGCTTTTTGGAATTATGACTGATATCAATCGTCTTAGAATGACATCTGCAAAGCGGTTATAGTCTTTACCCTCCAGGAAGTGATAGCAGTTGAAAGTACAGCAATTAGACAATTCACTCCGGAAAACCAATGGATTTGCCAAATACTCCAGTCTCATTGGGACAGGACATCTTTTCCGGTTGTTTCATTGTAAACCTGATTGCGACTAAAATTTGCTAGGAACACTGAAAAAAGTAGCATGGGTGACCAAATGAAAATGATAATATCAATATATTCAGCATACCGACTTTCAAAGGCTGTCACCCTCATTATTGATGTTGGTTGAGTCAGCGGCTAGTTAACCCAGAGGTATTTTTCCTAATCAGACAGCATAATTCATCATGAATGATTCTAATCTCCATAGGCAAGCAAAAAAACAACTTTTGGAAGAATAGTTTGAAACTAACATGAAAAATCGCCTTTAAGAGAACTAGTTGGCTTCGCAAATGTGCTCCACAGACGTATTACTCAGTAGTCAGTGTAATCATTAATCAAGACAATCAATAATCAGATGCCAGATTAGTAGATAGAATCACAATATAGATCACAAGTAGCACTTATACTGTAAGAAGTATAACGCAATGGATTTTACATCAACCGTTACAGAGCTAAATCGGTACCTCCACCGTAAGTCATTATGATTTGTGTGTATTTCACTTTGAGTTAAACTATCGGATGGTGTGTATATTTATTCGCTACAAACGATGTTGGTCACATGTTCCCAGTGTCAGTAGAGTTGGGTGGTTTCATCTACCCTTACAGCTACTTAGGAATATACTATGTAGTCACAACATAAAGTGATGGGTGTGTCCTTCGTCGGTTCATGTTTTGTTGACCATGAAAATAGGTAGATTGGTGGACACAACAGATGTATTACTGTGGTTCAAATGGTGTCACGGTTTCAGAAAGACGTGAATTTGTCTAGTGATTTGACTTTGGAGACACTTTTGAACATTGAAATTTTGTTCACCTGTATTATGGGAACTGATTGGACCAGTTTATCCTCTCGTTATACAATTCTGTAGAGTTCTTTAAAGGCTCCAATGTTATTCCCATTTCATATGTGTTGAACATCTCTGAACAAACATTTAACTGATGCCATTATATACTGGAACCAATGGACACTATGGTAATTTATATACAACATATATACCACACAGGTTTCCTCTAGACAGGTGGTCCTGTCGACACATCATGTTGCCGAATTGTGAGTACGCCGGAAATGATAAAGATTTTCATTAGCAGAATTAGTTGACAGGTCATGTTTCTTCTTATGTGTAAAAGAAGTGTGAGTCTTGACAAAATTCTGATTAGTTCAATCTTTTTGTTTGGATAGTCTGGGTTTTTGACCTGAACCTGTCAACTGATGGTTTGCCTTTTCTACTTTTGAAACTTTTTCATTTTGTTGAGTTTGGTCAAGCTTGAGTGATTCACCAGAAGTTCCAAACGCACCCTCACTCTCAGCTGTAATGTTTCTGTGAATCCATCATAAAATCCCCATCACCATGAAAATTAGAAGTGCTCTCCATAAAACACTTAGCATGGTTTTTAAAATTTTCATTTTCTCAGGTGCCAGAAGATAAGTCTATTAATAAACCAGTTAACTCAGAACTTGGTGGCAGTGGTTTAGGGCTGCAGTTTTGGTTTAAGTATGATTTTTCACTCGTTCCACTCAGACTGTAGTTTGAATTGTTTAAAGTTGAGTAGATCTAGTTAAAATGAGGAGTATTGATTTGTACAGGATTTACAGGATATTATCCATAGTAATATCGCTTGAGGGGGAACGATGGTTTGTGGCGGGCCAACTTGAATTGTATCTCTGTTCCATTCTACAAAAATTAACACAATTGTCACCTCGATAGACTCCTCATTATGAATTTGTTTTCTGTTAACTTTTATAGAGCCAAGCCAGCAGCTGCACCGTAAGTCACTATCTATTGTATGAGTTTTACATCGTAGTGAAATATCAGGTGAGATCTATATTTACTCATTGTCCTCTAAACTTTTATATTTCATGGTAGATGGCTATGATATATGATGTGTTATTCGCTTGCTTCCATTTATCATGGAGGTATATGGATTTTTCATCTGAAGTAATGTGTGAAAAAAATATTTGTCGATTTCAAATGTCACAGCTATTTTCAAAAAATATGTCTTTTTATGTCACATATTTCTCTGTCAGCTGTACATTTTTCACTGATCATTCAAAAGGGATTCACTCATCGAGATGAGACTAATTATAATAAAATCAACATGGGTAGAATGAGTTCCACTTTCAAGATCTTTCTGAGTTCATGCGAAAATGGAAGAATGAAGTTAGATTGATTTAGTAGCTTCCAATTTATTTTATTCAAAGCTTACGACCCTCAAAACACTCTGTATATTATCTGTTTGTCTGGACAACTGGAGTAATTCTTTTTCTTTTTTTTTTGTGGGGGGGGGCGTGAACCATGTGTAATAGACGTTTCTGATGATTTTGTAAGCTTCATTGCTATCATTGCTGAATTACTGAGATTTATTCGAAATTCTGTCTGATAGTGGAAGCAGTGACATGGCAATGAAAGTTAAGCTGAATTCACTTAATCTTTGGATTCAATCGGTTGAAATGAATTTTGTGACACTCAAGAAATTGTAGTGTAAGGGAATTCAGTCTGAACAGTCATACCTTTGGAAGTAACTGATTCATAAAATCAGAGGAGAGTATGGTGGAAGAGGATTTCCTAGTATGGTTGACTGTTGAGCGTTTGAATATGGAATCGGTATTTAGTTATGCTGACATCATATATCATCTGTTTCAAAGAAAGTTGATGAATTGCGAATTGTCATGGTGTTTTGTTCAAGTGCTTTTTGGAATTATGACTGATATCAATCGTCTTAGAATGACATCTGCAAAGCGGTTATAGTCTTTACCCTCCAGGAAGTGATAGCAGTTGAAAGTACAGCAATTAGACAATTCACTCCGGAAAACCAATGGATTTGCCAAATACTCCAGTCTCATTGGGACAGGACATCTTTTCCGGTTGTTTCATTGTAAACCTGATTGCGACTAAAATTTGCTAGGAACACTGAAAAAAGTAGCATGGGTGACCAAATGAAAATGATAATATCAATATATTCAGCATACCGACTTTCAAAGGCTGTCACCCTCATTATTGATGTTGGTTGAGTCAGCGGCTAGTTAACCCAGAGGTATTTTTCCTAATCAGACAGCATAATTCATCATGAATGATTCTAATCTCCATAGGCAAGCAAAAAAACAACTTTTGGAAGAATAGTTTGAAACTAACATGAAAAATCGCCTTTAAGAGAACTAGTTGGCTTCGCAAATGTGCTCCACAGACGTATTACTCAGTAGTCAGTGTAATCATTAATCAAGACAATCAATAATCAGATGCCAGATTAGTAGATAGAATCACAATATAGATCACAAGTAGCACTTATACTGTAAGAAGTATAACGCAATGGATTTTACATCAACCGTTACAGAGCTAAATCGGTACCTCCACCGTAAGTCATTATGATTTGTGTGTATTTCACTTTGAGTTAAACTATCGGATGGTGTGTATATTTATTCGCTACAAACGATGTTGGTCACATGTTCCCAGTGTCAGTAGAGTTGGGTGGTTTCATCTACCCTTACAGCTACTTAGGAATATACTATGTAGTCACAACATAAAGTGATGGGTGTGTCCTTCGTCGGTTCATGTTTTGTTGACCATGAAAATAGGTAGATTGGTGGACACAACAGATGTATTACTGTGGTTCAAATGGTGTCACAGTTTCAGGAAGGAAGACGTGAATTTCGTTTTCCTATGGAAATGAGCTTGACGGCAAAGTAAGTGCTATCAAACACCGCTCCATTACTTTGTTCGATGATCCGAGTTTATAGACAACTCGAACAGTGAAATTCTGTTCACCTCTTTTGTGTGGACCTACTGAATTAGTTTAGCCTTCCTTCTGACACATCTGTAGGGCTGAATGAATTTCAGGGAACAGTTGTTATCTGTTATTCTATTATACAGGTTCGTCGTATATCTATTTTAATGGTACCTTCAGTACATATGCGTTGAATATATCTGAAGAAATATTTAACTAATACTATTTATAGAGCAATCAACAGAAACTATGGTAATTTATACAGAAGTAGGATAATATGAAATACGAAAAATGGCAAACACTCATTCGATGCATTTACATGTGTTATTGAATAATTTTCCACCAAAACTTTCAGAGCCAAGCCAACACCTGCACCGTAAGTCGCTACCAATTGTGTGTATTTCACTTTGAGCTAAATTATCGGATGGGGGGTTTAAACCTGTCCGTTGTTCTCTAAGCTGTTTTAGTTCTGCTCCCACTCGTACTCATTTTGTCCGAGTTTTACATGGCTAATGAACACCAAGCTAATGGGCAATTGTGAATCTAGATTATCCAAATGGGTAACTGATGGATGAAAATAACTGTTTAGCCCTGAAAGTATAATCCAGTGGATTATTTCCATATAGATAACTCTTAGTTTTCAAACTGCAATACCAACACCGGTACAGTTTAACAACATGTAATTCTGAGCACATAGATCAGGTTTAGGTATTTTATTACTCCGAATCTAAGTATCTGACCAAAAGACATGTTATTCGAGGGTTTCATTAAAGTACTGAAATTAACAATTTAAGTATCTTCAAAATGACAGGCGGTCGCTGTTTCCTTTTACATATGTTGATGATTTATTTTCTACTAACACCTTCAGCGCCAAGCCAACACCTGCACCGTAAGTCGCTACCAATTGTGTGTATTTCACTTTGAGCTAAATTATCGGATGGGGGGTTTAAACCTGTCCGTTGTTCTCTAAGCTGTTTTAGTTCTGCTCCCACTCGTACTCATTTTGTCCGAGTTTTACATGGCTAATGAACACCATGGTAATGGTCAATCGTGGATCTATTTATTATTGTTCTCTTGGGTTCCTAGTGGAACATAGGGCTTCAACTGCACGTCTCCACTTGCTTCTGTCTTCCTTTCGCTGTACTTTTCACCTACATCATCCATGTTAGTCCATACTGTTTCAACTCCTCAACTCTTCACACGATCTCCTCCATGTCACCCTTGCACTGACGACCAACTCGACGCTTCAATTTCGGGTTCCACTCGAGCAATGGCCTGACGTGCGCGCGATGTCACCCAGCGGTCTCCTCAGCCACGAGTGTCCAATCCATCTCCACTTTCTCTTGCATATTTGTTGGTTGGCGATTGCCTCTTGTTTCGTTTTGTTTGTTCCCATAGTTTCTTGTTGGTGATTCTTTCCGGCTCGGCCATCTGATCTTCAGTATAGAGCGAAGACAGTTGTTGATAAAGGTCTGCAACAGGCTGTTGGAAATATTCTTTGTGACTCGCCCGCCCACCAAGTTTCTGATCCGTACAGAAGAAGTGACTGACTTGACGTTTGTATTGAAAATCCGACCGAATTTTGTTGTTGATGCTGGCTGAGTGACGAAGATTTCCAGATTGGTTTCAGGTTGATGAATGTGTTTTCTCGCCTTCCCGATTCTCGCTCGATTTGACATCCTCGTCCGTTCTGACTGGCTGTAGTTGAAACGATGCTCCCTAGATAAGCGAATGAAGTAACCTCTTTCAAATCCCTCCCGTTGATGGTGATTGGCACTGGATGTTGCTGTTGTTGTTGTTGGTTGGTTGGTTATTTTCATCACCTCCGTCTTGTCTATGTTTACCTGGAGTCCTGACTTCACTGTCTGCTTCTTCGACCAGTTTGTCGGTTTTCGCTTGTAAGTCTTCGACTTTGTGTGACATCAAACATAAATCATCCACGCGCGAAATCCAGGTCTTCTAGGTTCTTCACGTCGGTCCAGGATATCCCTGTCTTCTCGTTTCCCACTGTCTGACGCATAATCCAGTCAGTCCACCACAATTAGGAATATCATTGGGGATAATAAACACCCTTGTCTGACTCCTGTGTTTATTCTAAACGCCTCACTGAGTTTTCCGTTGTGGATCAGTTGACATGGTCCGTTGTCGTACAGCTGTTGAATGAGGTTGATGAATATTTGTGCACCGCACGCCGTAGTACTCGAGTAGTTTCCAAATTACTTCGCGGTCAACGCTGTCTGAAGGCCTTCTCAAAGTCTACGAAGTTGAGGTAGAGGTTTGATCGCCATTCCATGCTTTGTTCGATGATGATGCGTAGAGTTTTGGTCAGAACATGATTTGCCTTTCCTGAATCCAGCTTGTTCTGGTCGGAGTTCTGTCTCCAGTGCGTCCTTTAATCTCTCCAGGATGATGCGACTCAGGATTTTACTTGGCGTCGATAGGAGCATGATTCCTCGCCAGTTCTTGCAGAGTGAGGCCTAAGTCGCCCTTCTTTGGTAGTTTCACGAGGTAACCTTTCCTCCAGTCAGTAGGCACCTTTCCCTCCTTCCAGACCTTTTGCAATAATGGAGTCAGCATGTCTGCTGTCGTCTCTGGGTCTGCTTTCAGTGCTTCAGGGGGTATTCCATCTGGTCCGGCTGCTTTTCCAGCTTTCAGAAGCTTGATTGCATTCAAGACTTCAGCTCTCGTTGGAGGATTGGTGTCAACTTGCAGTTGTGTGCGCGCTGTTGTTGGTATTTCTGGACGGGTTGCAGGTGATGGTCGGTTCAAGAGTCCTTTGAAGTGATCCGCCCATTGTTTAATCTGTTTTTCTTCCTTGGTAATTGGGTTCCCTTGGCTGTCTTTTATAGGTTTCGCTTGTGTTGATCTCTTCCCGGATAGAGATTTGGTTATCTGATATAGTGTCCTCAGGTCCCTTTTGCCTGCTGCCTTCTCAGCTTCAGTGGCGAGGTTGTCGTAGAATCGTCTTTTGTCCTTCCTAGCACTCTTCTTCACTTCTTTGTCCAGTGCTTTGTAAGTTGAGCTCAGCGTCTCCTTCTCCTGTCCGTCCTTGCATTGAATCATTTTCTATTTCACCATTCTCCTCTCTTCTATTAATTTCCAAGTGTCCGTTGAGAGCCATTCCTTGTCTTGTCTCTTCTTTCTTCCTAGAACCGTTGAACACGTTTCGTTGGGAATCGCCTTCAGAGACTTCCAATGTTCTTCCACGCATGATTCTTCAGTGATGTCGCGTAGTGTTTCCTGCTTTGCTCTGACAGTTGCAGTGAAAGTGTCTTTTGTGGTTGTGTCCTTCAGTAATTGAGTGTTGAACTTGCATTGTGGCCTATCCCCAGCTATCCTCAAGGCTTTTAGTTTCACCTTGAAAGTCCTTTTTATTAGATAGTGGTCTGAACCCACATCTGCTCCTCTCCTTGACCTTGTGTCCAGTAGGCTCCGCCTCCACTTTCTTGAAATTGAGATGAAGTCTATTTGGTTTTTGGTGTTTCCATCTGATGAAATCCATGTCGTCTTGTGTACATCCTTGTGTTTGAACACACGGCCACCAATCAACAAATCAGTGAAGGCACGGAAGTCTGAGGAGAGTTCACCATTGTCGTTCATTTCACCGAAAGCCTCGTGACCCATGGTAAGTTCTCTTATTGTATTGTCTCCTCCCAGCTTCGCATTCATGTCGCCCATCAGGATTCTGATATCGCCATTTGGGACGTTGTCCATAACTGTCTGTATTTGTCTGTAGAGAGCCTCCTTCTTCTCTTGTTCTGAGACGTTTGTAGGCGCATAGCATTGAATGACTGTAACTTTCCTTTCTTTTGAGTTGAACATGGCTGTCGTTGTCCTGGAGGAGACTGGTTTCAACTGCATTAGGGCTTTATCTTTGTCCTCTGGGTGACCGGAATAGATTATTATCTCTCCAGTTGATAGTTGGCACCTTTCACATCCGTTCCATCTGCTCTCACACATTTCCAACACTTTTATTCCATGTCTTCTCATTTCTGCGGCTACCTGGGCAGCCTTTCCAGTTTCGTACATTGCACGAACATTCAACGTCCCCATCCCTATTTTTGCTTTCATCGAGTGAATGCACATCGGCTGACTAGCTTCCCGAAGGCTTTCACCAGCCTGCGTCATTTCACTTCCCCGATTCCAGCGAAAAATAAGTTTGTTGTTTATATTTTTAGTATTTTTAATATATTTATGCGTTGAAGTTTCTGTAGCAATTTGGCTAAATTTTGGGGTGGAGTTGCTAGCACCACACCTCAACCCCCGCTCTTTATCCGGGCTTGTGACAGGCTAGAAAACTAGCGAACTAGTAATCTAGGCGAGGTTCAATTGTGAATCTAGATTATCCAAATGGGTAACTGATGGATGAAAATAACTGTTTAGCCCTGAAAGTATAATCCAGTGGATTATTTCCATATAGATAACTCTTAGTTTTCAAACTGCAATACCAACACCGATACAGTTTAACAACATGTAATTCTGAGCACATAGATCAGGTTTAGGTATTTTATTACTCCGAATCTAAGTATCTGACCAAAAGACATGTTATTCGAGGGTTTCATTAAAGTACTGAAATTAACAATTTAAGTATCTTCAAAATGACAGGCGGTCGCTGTTTCCTTTTACATATGTTGATGATTTATTTTCTACTAACACCTTCAGAGCCAAGGCAGCACTTGCACCGTAAGTCACCAACAGATATTCGCATTTTTTCATATGGAAATGAAATATCGGATAAAGTATGTATTTGTTTGTTATCCTTTAAGGTGCTTTATTTCGTGGCAAGCGGGTAGAACACTGGGCTTATAGTTGGTTACTTTCATCCAAAATGAATTTGGGATTTTCAATCTGCATGAATTTGTGTGAAGCACGTTTGTTGTAGTGAAAAGTCACGGTCTTAATAACTGACGTCATGGAATAAATTATCTTTTTCAATGTTTTCATTCAAATTACATGTAGCTCTTCAATGACTGATATCCAAGCTTTGTAAAACTACAACTACAGCTTTCTCTGTCTCAGAGTGAAATCGAAATCTTTCTGATTATTTTATAGTTGTAATCTAGAAATTAGATAAGCTACCAAGGTCGATATCCGCATATATACATCTAACTTTTGTTGTGGTGACAGTTACGTAGGTATAATAACTTGGCAGGCTCATCATCACTTCCTTGAGTATTGTTCAATGTGATGAGGCAAAGGGATGTTAAAGGCACTTAGGAGCGGTATACTCTACTGTGTGTCAAAGCATCAAATTGATAAAGATTGAACCGTGTCTATTCTATACAGTTTAGCGCTTCACTTCTATATGCTTATATGCCTTTTATTTTTAAACACATCCATGATATTTGTTATCAAAATTTTCGGGTTCAATCTCTGCGTTCAGAAATATTTTGTCCACTCCTCTTTCCACTCAATAGTCTCACTTCCACCCCACATACATTCTTAGTAGATTTCTTACATATAAACGCGCATGAATTTACAATTACACTGATTATTGCCACTCATGTAATGAACTATTTAATTCCCTTAACCAAATATGTACCTCACATATATACTGCACATGTTTTTTTTATATAATTGGTTAGCCTAATGAAAAAATGCCGAAAATACACACTTGATAAAACTGTGTATTCGCGGGAGAAGGAAACTAAAATGACTATACCACGTCCGACTGTTCAGTTTGCTCTTGCTCTCATCCCCACTGCTTTATTTTACTCTTGATAGCTCTTTTCTACGTATATTTCGTTTGTCTGTTTACTGCCTGGCGTTCCACATATCCTTTTCAAGTTTTATTTGTCTCCATGAGATTGTTGTTTCACTAAATTCTTCAAACATTTATCTCCCTTTAAATCTTATTTTGTTCAGATCTAATCCAACACCTTAAGTAATCAGTAATTGCTTTTGTCTTTGAAAAAACCCTTGAACACTTTATAACAAAAGCAAGGCAGAAGGTATTCCATAGATTTCACATAAATTTGTTTGTTCAGTTATTCTGAATCATCTATAGAACCACTTTTTAAAAAGATATCCTATAGGTGCATAGTATGCGGTCTCGATTATCTGCAGCAGCATAAACTAATTCCCCCCTAATGAATCCTAACAGTTGATTTACCTGGAATTATTTAGCATTGAAGGGGCGAAATTAACCTTCTCTTTCTGAGTCTCGTACTTTTTCAGTTTCAGTTTTATTTGTAGCGTTAAGACAGGTCAACATAAGCCTTCCAGTTGTCATTGCATGTTGCGATCTATTCATAATTTTTATTATTTATTTACTGTTCCCTTGGGTTCCTAGTGGAACATAGGGTTTCAACTGCACGTCTCCATTTGCTTCTGTCTTCCTTCCGCTCTACTTTTCACCTGCATCCATGTTAGTCCATACTCTTTCAACTCCTCTTCACACGATCTCCTCCATCTCACCCTTGCACTGACGTCCCACTCGCCACTTCCTATTCTGTCGGGTTCCACTCGAGCAATGGCCTGACGCGAGCGCGATGTTACCCAGCGGCCTCCTCAGCCACGAGTGTCCAATCCATCTCCACTTTCGCTTGCATATTTGTTGGTTGGCGATAGCCTCTTGTTTCGTTTTGTTTGTTCCCATAGTTTCTTGTTGGTGATTCTTTCCGGCTCGGCCATCTGATCTTCAGTATAGAGCGAAGACAGTTGTTGATAAAGGTCTGCAACAGGCTGTTGGAAATATTCTTTGTGACTCGCCCGCCCACCAAGTTTCTGATCCGTACAGAAGAAGTGACTGACTTGACGTTGTTTGTATTGAAAATCCGACCGAATTTTGTTGTTGATGCTGGCTGAGTGACGAAGATTTCCAGATTGGTTTCAGGTTGATGAATGTGTGTGTTCTCGCCTTCCCGATTCTCGCTCGATTTGATATCCTCGTCCGTTCTGACTGGCTGTAGTTGAAATGATGCTCCCTAGATAAGCGAATGAAGTAACCTCTTTCAAATCCCTCCCGTTGATGGTGATTGGCACTGGATGTTGCTGTTGTTGTTGTTGGTTGGTTGGTTATTTTCATCACCTCCGTCTTGTCTATGTTTACCTGGAGTCCTGACTTCACTGTCTGCTTCTTCGACCAGTTTGTCGGTTTTCGCTTGTAAGTCTTTGACTTTGTTTGACGTCAAACATAAATCATCCACGCGCGAAATCCAGGTCTTCTAGTCAGGTTCTTCACGTCGGTCGAGGATATCCCTGTCCCGTTTCTCGTTCCCCACTGTCTGACAGATAATCTAGTCAGTCCACCACAATTGGGAATATCATTAGTGATAATAAACACCCTTGTCTGACTCCTGTGTTTACTCCAAACGCCTCGCTGAGTTTTCTGTTGTGGATCACTTGACACGTGCCATTGTTCATACTTAAACTTTATTAATTAATTTATATGATAATTCCATAAGGTTTGAAATTCGCATTGAGTCTGGAAACTGTGACACCTAACTATTCACATGTTTGCTGGTGTGTGTGTGTGTGAGGATAGCTGAAGAATTTTCACACTTCAATATATCATTTGTAATTTTTTTCTAGAGTAAAAACAGTTAATGGCCCGTAAGTATACAATTTGAATATTTCATATTCATATGTTATTTTGTTAAGGAACTACAGACCTTCATTTACAGTTGCCTTCACTCAATACTTAAGATCAGATGACCGGCCAGAAAAGATCGTCTACAGAGATCTCTGGGAGTGAATCAACCAAGGAGGAACCGATTGTGCAACAAATAGGCAGGAAGAAATGGAGATGGATTGGCTAGCCATACTCTGAGGAAACCATCAAGTGACATCACTAGACTAGCCATCACTCGAGAAGAACCCGAAAGGGAAGCAGCGAGTTGGTCATCAGTGCAAGGGTGACTTAGAGGAGGTCATTTGAAGAAGAGATGAAGTCGTGTGGGCAGACTTGGAGCCAGGTGAAAACGTTGGCAGAGAACCAAACGCAATAGTAGCGAGCGGCTAAAGCCCTATGTTCCTCTAGGAATTAAAGGAAATAATAATTATAATAATTTTGTTAAGGAACTCTAATCTTCAAATTTTTTTATCCTGATATTTTAACTGTTGGTGAAGTGGAATATACACTGACAATGAACAACTCTCAGTTTATTTATCTGTTTGTTTTTTCTCCAGGATGTGTGCATCTTAATGAAAAACTTTACTGAATAGTATTTGCAATGAATTTCTTGAGCTAGGGGCAAAACAAAACTTTGAGACTAAGGATGATATGTCTATCACGAAGAATTACTGGAAAATACCTTTCCGTAAATCTCTTCTCTATAACTTTTTTATAAATAAAAAATTCAGTGATATTTATTAATTCAGTTAACTCAGAAAACTTAAAACATTACTCTTAGTTTACCTTTTTCAGTAGTACAACTTATAGCAATTGTTTTGCTCAGTGATAATCAGACCGTTTCTTTGTTTGTTTTTTCATATTTAAAGCACAACCAAAAGGTTAGCTTTTACTTAATATATTAAATTTGCAAACACAAATGTTTATTCAAGAGTCAGTTTTTAGGGATTTGATTGGTTTCCGGATTCCACCATGAATTGACATTGGTTAGAGAACCACTGGAAAATCTGGGAGGATTGGACAGCTATTTCTTCTTAGTTAGAGACTCTTCATCAGTACGCATCCACTGGGACTGAAGAGTTCCAAACTAGGACGAAACAGCTGTCTAATACTCCCAGGTTTTTCAAGGGTTCTCTAAGTGATGTCTTTCCATGATGGAATCCTAAAAAAAACATTTATTTCTTTGAGTAAGAATTTACCAGCTATTAAGAAATATACAACTAAAATTAGAAATATTTTCATTGGTAATATTATAAGAGGTGTCTTTGCTCTGTTTGAGTGATTCAGGTTTTAAATATCTGATAATGAATACTGTTTCATTAGGTTAACTGATTTTATTACTGATGAGTCTTTCAAGAGGTGAATGCGTGAAAGCTTACGAAGGTTCAGTAATGTAACATTCAAGATAAATTCAAAAGATAAATCTTGAAGGAAACCCAAAAGTTTGATATTCCTCTCTCCTTAGATATAACGACTGTCAACGTTCAAGATTAGTTTGTAGGGATTTGAGATACTTGAAGTTTGATCACAGATTGATATCATTTAGAGAACCACTAATAACCATGGAGTACTGGACAACTGCTGGGTTCTACTTACTGATTCATCGATAGTACGCATTCACCGGGGTTCGAACTCTACAGAATTCGGTTAAAAGGAAAATCATTCAGCCACTGAGATCCGACTCAATGCCCAGCCCATGAATTCTAATTTCTGTTAACTCGTGGTTTTAGTGCGGCTGGCACCAGCCAATGAAATCGGCAAGTATTTGTTCTCACTGTTGACCAGGTGAACCCCAGTGGTCAACCTCATCCTACAGGCAGTCACTAGCCAGCATCAGATTAATTTCGAAGAGTTATATTGTAGGGATTCGATTTGTTTCAAGTGTGACCATGAATTGATATCAGGACGAAGTAGCTATCCAGTACTCTTTAGGTTTCAATGATTCCATAGCTGATATCAGTCCTTGGTCAAACCTGAAGTATTCATTGTTTGCACTCTAGAATGATACGTGGTGTAAGCAATTCATCTTGAATTAATCAAAATTCCAAACTGTATGAGGATGATAACTGGGCAGTATATACTGCTCGATGATATGAAGAGATCTAACTTCGGACATTGTATTTTGACATAACTTTAAGTCTAGAGTTTAGAATGATATGCTAAAATGATATGGTAAAATGAATTACACTTGCGCAAAGGTGGGAGAAATAAAATGCAAAGGAATGAAGTTTTAGACTAATGTTCAAGCAATGGTTTTGTAGGGGATATTTGTTTAATTGATTGCAGGATTTCATAGTGAGCTGACATCATTTAGAGAACCACTGGAAAACCTGCAGGGAGTACTGGAGAGCTGTTTCGCCTGTCCTAGTTTGGGATTGTTCACAGCACGCACCCACACCACAGGGTTCGAATCCAGGACCTTCTGGTTACAAGGAGAGCGAACTCATAGACCATTAAGTGACTGGGACTTCTTCCATTGGCCCACGAATTCAAACTTTTGTCAATTCACGACACAGTGCGACCACTTCTCAATGTCTTCTTCAATGAGTTACTGCCTCACCTTCAACCTGCTGCACCCTATTGGTTACGGCTTCCTACCAGAATTCCAGGTTAACTGCCTGAATGGGGCCAGTCACTAGTTAGCATCAGATTAATGTTTAGATAGCTCTAATATCACCAATGGACACTACTGACGGATGTGAGTGATTTTCAACTATTTATATCAGTCATTTGTATCCACTATGTATAACGATTTATCACAGTGGCAAGTGGTGTGTGGTCAACAACTAGCTATAAAAACAAACTTTTGTAATATTTTTCGTGCTTTTCTTAATATGGCTGATTTGCATACTTATTATTTGTCAGTAGATCAAATTTAGAAGCATTTTTTTGACGTTTGATATTTATTTAGACCCCATGATGAAATGTAAGTTGGCTAAGATATTTTACACGAAAGATTTCATGAATATTAGTTTAACCAACCAGTAAAGCCACACTATAAGATTCGCTTTCTACCAGATTGTTCTTAGTCGACTAGTTGTCCTTTAACCTTGAATCATCAGATGGCATTGGTCAGTATCTTAAATAAATATCTCCAGTACATCCCTTCACTATTCGGTACAGATACTGAATTTTTAGAAGATCCATGCTAGTCGACACTACGTGTAAGTATTGCACTTATCAGAAATAGAAGGATTTCTATCTGTTGATAATTAAGAATACATGATTTCCGGATCTTTGACTAGTAATAAAGGTGACAGGGGGTAATGCTGTATGATGTGTGAATAAAAAGTCACCAAAGATATCCGATATTAAGGTAACAGTTTTACTGAAAAAGAATTTTTGAACACTGTGATGTTGTTCTAATTACTTGGAAGTTCTGAGTGAAATTCAAAAGTAAGAATCTAATCAGCCCTAGCTGAATAAATTCCTCATCTTAGTCTTACACAATTAAATAATGAATTACTTCAGGCACTTAAATATCAGAAAGCTATTTTATGCTGTCAATCGCAGTTGAGATCGCTGGTTAAATACAGAACTTATGTAGGGTAATAAGTAGTGAGTAAAATCTAGAGAACATATGGACATATTTTATGAATTATTCTTTATGACACTATATATATATTACCAATCTAATAATACAAATGTCTTCCCTTTACTTTATCCTCACTTATTTTTAAAGTGGAGTATTGATTGCAGCCACAGCACCGTAAGTTTACAAGGGCTAATAACCAAAGCTTTATTTCAACGAAGTTTTGTAAAAATGCTAAATATGAAAATATATCTGACTGTAACTGGTACAAGTTATAAGAACACAAATTAGTGGAAGTTTAAGTGTTTAAATTGCATTGAATGAGTTCTTTGAGCTGACACAGTCAAAGGAGATCTGATAGAGATATCCAATTAGTCATCTTTATCCTTCGACTCTCACTAAAACTACTAATAAGAATATCGTTGAAAGATTCCCTCTACTCACATTCATGGATCGAAGAATACGTCTGCTATCATAGTTATTATAGAATTCACTGATCTTTGTTTAAATGTCCGTAGATGCTAAACAGTTGTATTTGAGTCTTATAGATTGATTTTTGAATGCAAAACATACTTGCTATTTATTTGACAGAAGTTTTATTACAGTCTCACTCGGTTCCAATAACAAATGTCAGTTGTAATATTAAATAAACTATTCATAAATTGACGTAAATGTCAACGTGCTGTTCACGTGAATTGGTGTTCTTGAGATTAGCTTCTAAGGTTGAGTATAAGAAATGGGATTCAAGGCAAACAAGGTAATACTCCTTGATGGGATAAATTTGTGCGATAAGAAGTCACTATCATTTGAAAAATAGACAACAATGGGAAGAGATCTAGGCAATTCAGGAAGTCGCCAAACTTTAAATATCACCTTAACATAGTTTTCCTTTAGGCATCGATGGCGCAGCGGTAGAATGCTCACCAACTACACATGTGGTGGGGGGTTCAAACCCCGGCAGGCGCACTCCTTTATCTCGCTAAGCCAGTAATAAGACTGGTTGGAAGGGAAGGTTGGACATGAGGTCAGCAATCCCAAGCCTCTAGCTTGAAGCCCTATGTCCCAACATACTTTAATATGAGACTAATTAAACAGACACACTAACTTCGGTAAGCCATAGTGACCTGCTTCAGATGGATAGTCCAGTAGATTGAAGTCTCCTGTATCAGGTTTGAATACGATTTCTCACGATTTGAATACATTTGCATGTTCTTAAACATTTGGGAGATATTATAATGGATGATGTGAGCAGCCTTAGAAGAACAGAAGGAGATACCTTTTATCCAATGAAACGCTCAATAACGATTTACACTTTACAATTTATTTACAGAGTACTTTTCGGTGTTATTGGGTGAGAAACATGTTTTTGAAAAAGATGGTTATTTGGGATTTTCGATTCACTTACATACTTGAATATAAAACCTATATTCTTCTTTAGGATGAAGAGCAGTCTGCTTCCAGGCTTGTGGTGACACAATGATCATCCTTTCTCTTAATCTTCAGTATGGTCTTGTTGTGATTTATCGCTCTTTCCATTAGTTTGACTTAAGAACCAAGCTTCTGAGATTCTCTGACAGTGCCTATGTTTTCTTTTCTTCGGGAAGAATTCATTTCCATAACTGTGCATCTGTAATGGAATGGTTAGCAAGAATCGTCTCTCATCAACTAGCAACCATCTACTCACATTCATCAGAGTTCTTTTACAAAATGTGACTGCTTGCCATCTTGCATTGACAATAATTCGCTGCTTAGTTTACCTTCTGCTTGTCCTTTAGGTATCAAGTTGAGAAGAGTGAAGGAAGTGACTCGTCGAGGTGGCTTATATCTTACTGATCTTCGATAAAAAGCGTTAATTCGAGATTCATGCCTGTTTGAAAATTGATCGTTACCACCTGACACCAAGAATAGTCGACCTCATAATTGTGTCGAGTAGCCACGTGAGCACATTTCAAACCTAAATAAGCCTTTTTTAATGGGCATCGTTGGCTTGACAGAAAGATTAGTAAAGATTCGATAATCATTTGTTAAATTTGAAAGTCATTAAAAGCCATATTCTCTTATTGCTGTGGAAAGTAAGTGATGCACTTCCACTGTACAATTGAATAACTGAATCACTATCAACTAGATTTGAATGTAGGCATTTTTGAACTTCGTAGCTGCCTTCAGAGTGGATATCTTAGGAGCTTGAGTGAGTTTGAGAATCTCTATGAGACTGGATTCAGACCCTCTGGTTAACAATGAAGCCCGACCATTAAGACCAACCAGGTTGGCTGTATGGACAGTTACCTATTAGAGAAATGATCTAAAGATAGTGCAGTACTGCTTATTCACTTATTGTTTTGAACACATGCAAATTTTGACATGGATTCTATGATTTTTGTAAGAACAGATGATTAATTTCAATCAAAGTTTTCGTTTAGTGCGCGTAAAATGAACGCCCCTAAAGGTCATGGTTTAAACAATGGACACATTTTATGGTTTTCATTTTTAGTGAGATTGTTGGACAAATTCTGTAAGTTCAGTATTCTTTTGACTACCTCGTTCCTGAGAAGTATGATTTTGCGTAAATACATAAATTTCGGAATAAATAAAAAATTCTAAATACTCAAATGTACTATGTGGAACCATCACACTTTCGCATGACAGTAGCCTTTACGTTTTATCTCAAAGTCAACGAAACTATACTGTCTGGAGTACACGAATTCCACCTTTCAAACTCTCTAGTGATTACATAATGAATATGATGAAGTCTGAAAGAAAACTAGACATCTTAGGGAAGCTTTACCTACTAGTTTGACTTAAGAACCAAGCTTCTGAGATTCTCTGACAGTGCCTATGTTTTCCCCTTACGTACACAGTAAATGTACGGTTATAAGTGTGCGTCGGTGGCACAGTGGTTAGGACTCTCGCCGACCATGCACATGGTCCGGGCTTCGGTCCCCTGCCAACGCACACCTGATATCAATTGTCGGCCTGCGAAATTCGGGCTACCGATATCATAAGCTGAAAATTCCATACTGGTACCAAAAGTACCGTGTGGTTTCAAGCTATAATAAAAAAAATAAGCGTTATTTGATTCAGGTAAATTATTACAAGTTCTCTTGGTCTAACTTTATTTTCTAGGTGAATTTCCGTTGTTTTCAAGCGACTTTAGGAGCTGAAAATAAACAAATTCTAAAATAAAAGTTACTGAAATACAACTTCAAAATATTAACGGAAGCAGAGCTATTTCAGCTTTCCTAAGAATGATATGTGACAGGAGTAGGTAGTAACAAGCAATCAGATGACATTTGTAAACAATAGGTTTTCCTATTTCAAACGAAAAAGTTGTAGTTAGTGAGACTACATAAAATCTTCTCTCTCCATGAATTATTGTATTTATTCTTCACAATGAATTACACAAGGTAGTTGACTGGCATATTTTGGTAATATTAAGAATAACAATTACGGGTAGAAAATCTTTATTTGTAACTCCGGAAGTAATAATCAAATATTGCCAAAATGACTTATAGGTAGACAAGGAATAAAATAGACTACAGATAATGAATATTCTTTAGGGAAGTCTCATGTATATCAATGTTGCTTATCTCATGTTTGCTTGAATGAATGAATGTGATTATTATCAGATTTTCATTGGAAATATATATATTTTGCCCCAAAACAGGAAATTTTAATGAGTGAAATATTATTAAAGTTTATGGATATTGGGGACAGAGCTGCAGAAATGATGATTTTCTCCTATTAGACTCACTTGCATTGCAGTTATCGGACTAAAATAGTACTAAAATTTTGATAAAAACATATCCACTTGAAATTTTTTGTACACTTAGGAAATGAAGTTGTATTCCACTGTTACAGCCTTTAGAATAAGACTTAGACGATCACTTAGAGCACAGTTTACTAATGTCAAGTGTAAAAAAATATTCTGCAGAGAATTTTGATAGGTCGAATGCATGTCGAGTGACATCGCGCCAACCAACCTCCTCAGGTGGAACCCGGGTGGGAAACGACTAGTCGCATGTTCGGGGGTGACATGCAAGAGATCGTGTGGTCGTGGGACTAGCTGAAGAGGACTTCAGAGAGTAGAATGAGGTGGAGATGTGCTGCTGAAGCCCTATGCTCCCCTCGGAACCCAAGGAGATAATAATATTATATTCAATACTGGAATCAGTAATAAAGTATTGTTCCATGAAACTGTTTCGACCAAAATGCATTGACAGCAATCACAGCAAAGTCAGTCTGATTATATTAAGTTAACTGGTTGAACCCATCCATTTAAGTAGTATGTAAACGTGAATTAAATTCTTTGTAATGAAATATAACCAATTGGTTTACGCCCTATTTTTGTGAGAGTAAAGGCAACAACAACACCAACAAGAAGAAGTATACTTTAACTTCAACTAGTACTACTGCCATGACTACCATTTCTAGGCTGTTCTTTGCCGCAAAATCATCAATCAACTGAGTTACTGATATCTCCGTAATAAGAACAAATTGAACAACTTTAAAATAACTTGGAATCCCTAATTATTTAGTAAAGTAATAAAATGGCTCACGCTATCAAACTTCATCCGAAGTAAAGTTTATTTATTTATGTGTAGGTTTTTTTTAAATTATATTCATCCTTATAAAAAGATGCCTTATTTTATCAAAAGTCTTTAGTTGTTAGCATTTGGGCGTTCCATGTTGTAATCATTTGTAAGGGTGATTTATATTTAGTTATTTACCGTGATTCACTCAATATATATGTATCACTAAAACATGATTTTGTTTTGCTTTTCAGTCATTACATCGCCAGTTAAGCGCATGTCAGTCTGAACGAGATGATGAAGGGAGAAAGTGAAGACAAGCATATGATAAGAAGAAAAATAAACTTTTAAATGACAGCTTATGTTGTTTATTTAACTTTCAATAAATATTATCATCCTTACATCCTTATTTTACTTCTTAATTACCCGTATGTTGTAAAATCAGATCAACTGGTTGTGCTGTTTTGAGATCTTGAAAGATAATACTGAATGAATGAATGTATCAAACCTATTTGAGTATGAAACTTGTCAGTAGGTTAAATTATTATAATATTATTATTCCCTTGAGTTGTGTGAGTGGAACTTGGGGCTTCAACAACACATCTCCACTTGGTTCTATTTTCAGCCATCCTCTTCAGCTAGGTTCACGATTGACCGTAATCTCTCATCTCCTCCTTGCCACATGATCTCTCCCATGTCACCGTCGCACTGATGACTTACTCGTTGCTTCCCAATAGTATGGGTGTAAATCCTTTAGGGTTTTCAAAATATTTATGGTTAAAATGTTATAGATGCCACAGAAAGGCTATTCCTATTGGAGAGTAAAATCCTACCTGACAGCAAATAAACATATTCTACTATTACTGGTAAGATTATTAACGAGAGCTTCACGTAGGCTAGACTGGAATTCAAGTATTGGCAGTATATGATTATAGGGGAAATAGAAACTGAATTCCTTCTGAAAGTGAGTCCCTGGTCTTATTAAAAAAAAGTGAAGATATTGATAGAACCGGGCTTCCCTAGGTCAGTCAATATGACTTCATGTTGGTAATTTAGTACTAGTTTATTTGTACGCAAAGTCTCAACCCAGTTTAGGTCATCACCTTTTACTGACTATTTTAATACTGTCCGTGGAGCGTTTTAGAAAACAACCCAGGCAGATTAAAAGATTTGTCTATAGATAAGAGCTCTTTATTCATGTAAAAACTTTAGGAGTTCACTTTGTTGTCAAAGGCATAAAGATATTTATTTTCCTTCTATTCTCCTGTTTTGGAAAAGATGAGGTTGACACATTGGCCTATAAATTCTCGAATTTTTAATAACATTATCAAGCAACTTTGTTGGTTGAACAATTTTCATCAAATCCTTTTCACCTAAGTTTATTATGTTGTATCTCAGGCTCCACAAATGCCGTAATATGAATTTATATTAGTTATTACTCTGTTTTACTTGCCTTTTACTTGGTGGGTCACAAAGAATATTTCCAACAGCCTGTTGCAGACCTTTATCAACAACTGTCTTCGCTCTATACTGAAGATCAGATGGCCGGCCGGAAAGAATGACCAACAAGAAACTATGGGAACAAACGAACAAAACAAGAAGCAATCGACAACCAACAAATATGCAGGAGGAAGTGGAGATGGATTGGACACTTCCTGGCTGAGGAGGCTGCTGGGTGACATCGCGCGCACGTCAGGCCGTTGCTCGAGTGGAACCCGACAGAATAGGAAGCGGCGAGTGGGTCGTCAGTGCAAGGGTGACATGGAGAAGATCGTGTGAAGAGGAGTTGAAAGAGTATGGACTAACATGGATGCAGGTGAAAAGTACAGCAGAAGGAGACAGAAGCAAATGGAGACGTGCAGTTGAAGCCCTATGTTCCACTAGGCACCCAAGGGAACAATAGAAATAATAATAATTACTATGTTTTCATTATGTAAATAACGGCAGGTGGAATTATTTTACATCCAAGTACATACTGTTATCTAAACAGTTGTATGACTGAAGCTAAATACATGACTTTGTTCCTTTCTTTGAGCTAGATGGCATTCTGAGGAATGTCATCGGTACACACTTCAGCAGGAAAACTAGACAACTGAAGCATTGAACTCAAATTGCACGGCATCCCCAATATAATTTTACGCAATAAATATTTTTCATATTTGCATACCAAAATAATTCTTCCAGTTTTAGTTTGTTAGTTGTGAGTATTCTTTAGATAACAAGAAGAACAATATGGTGGCGAATTTACTTACAAATTAAGCAGACTACTTGCTGACATATTTTTGAGCCGGTAATTATAAATATTTTATGTAGCAGGTATGAATAATTAATTTTTCCCCAACGCTACAAATACCATCATGAAATTTATTCTGAATACCCCAGTCGACTTAGATCGATTCTATTCTCTGGCATTTAGTTGTAAGCTAATTCTGGCACCAGAATCAGTCGGTTTAGCAAATTAATTCCCTTCCATTCTAGTCTTGGTTTTTAAGCAGAAACAATGGATAGTTCTGAAAGATAAAGTTGCAAAATAACTGATGTTTTAAGTTCAGAAAGCCTCTTCATCTCAGCTCCTATAAGTCGGTGTCTGTTTCTTGTGTAAATAGTCTTCTCGTATATTTTTAAATCTAATTTCTCTTCTGCAGTTACTTTCATTATAAAGATGTAATAATAATAATAATGATTTACTTTATTCCAAAAACAGTACTTGTGATACAGAATGGAATTTTCAGCATTAATCACAATATTGCATCTAATTTCCTCAAATTATAAATAAAAATTAATCACACAGAAAAGTTTCCACATTTACAATAGGAGTGGGTAATGTCAAAAACATGCAGCATATAAAATGGAAATAACAATAATAATGATAACAGCTAGGGTAATAATAATAAGAATACAAGTGAAAATTGCCGTTGGCTTGTTTCACACAGTATTGGCAATGTGGTATAGAAACCCTAACATGTTTAAAAATATTGAATATAATGTTCTCTTTACATGATATAGTGAAGGGAAAAACAACGATTACAGCCGTCATGGAGATAAGTTGGTGTTTGCAATTATGAGAGTAAAACAGAGAATTAACAGGACCATAAATATAATAGAAGTAATAAAAGTAAAACTTCAAGGTATATAAGGATGGATGGAGGAAATTGTTTATTCACTAGATGAAAAAAGGTTAGTTAGTTCTTGCCTGACACTATGAAGTCTGTGGTGATGACCATGAATTAGTATTTCAATAGTTTTCTTTTACCTTGAGAATTTCATTTTTCTTCGACAAAACTTATAAAACCATTTTAAGCATCACGCGAAATGCTTGTTCAGAATGTATTGGTTTTGTCAAATTATTGTGATCATATCAACAGAAAACTTCTAAATAGGATGATGTGTTGACATTTGATCGATTCTATCTTCTTTTCCGATTGTTAGAATTTTGAAGGAATAATACTGGTAGAGAGTTCCGAACTTAGTTTTTGGAGACTTTGAAATGTGGTGTTATTATTTTAAAAGTTGATTGTTAATGTGACAGGCTGCAGTTATGAAAGAAAGTGAAAAATAAATTTGTGGAAATCAGTCCTACAAATTGATGGTTGATATCACTAGATGCCATACGCAGAGATGCAGATTTTGACAAAATAAAATAAGAAGTCGTGACCAGTGAGGTCTACACAGTCAAGTGTGAGGATGGATGTCCCACTAATGACATTGTTTGATAGTAGCGCTAAATCACCAACTGTTAGAAAGTAGAATTTATGGGATAGCCATTGAATCGCGTCCATTGGCTGAATGGTATAGCAGCTTACCTTGTAACCTAAAGGTCCTGGGTTAGAACCCTCTGTGGTAGGTGCGTACCGCCGATGATTCTCAAACTAAGATGAAACGGCTGTCCAGTACTCACTGGTTGGTTTTCAATGGTTCCCTAACGGATATCAGTCCGTGATCAACGCGTAAATAAAATGAATTTTTAATCGTTATCCTTTAGTCTAAACTGATGTATTTTAAAGCAAACATAACAATAAAATCTGATTTAAATGTAAGGCGATACCTCCAGGTTCTTTTATTTCACATTGTATAACATAATAACAAAATGAGGAGGTCCCTAAATGTAGGAGTAAGCAATACTGACTAGAATCTCCATATGAATATGGTTATCTATGAGGTTCTTGAGACTGCTTACTCAACAAATTGGCTGTCATATATTATATCAACAGTACACCTCCATTTCATCCTGTTCTTTGTAATTCCCTTTAATCGGCTATGCGAATGCTCATAGGCTCCTAAAACATATCTTCCATGTCATTCACCGAACGATGCCCAACCCGTCGCTTCCCATTCGGGCTACACTCGAGCCACGGTTTGGTGGAATGTCGCTCAACGATCTCCTCATCGTGCGTGAAATCCACCCAAATTTTTCTTCTGAATATTTGTTGAACAATAAGTTGTTGATTGTTTGCCTTGCCAGAGTTCTGTGTAGCTAATGCTTTCAGAGTGCGTTGGTGGCACAGTGGTTGGACGCTCGCCAACCATGCACATGGTCCGGGGTTCAATCTCTGACCAACGCACTCCTTTACCTCGCCAATACAAAACCGGTAAAGATGAAAGGTTGGACATGAGGCTAGCAATCCCATCCTGTAAAAGTAAACACTTCTACAGAAACTTCAAGCCTCTAGCTTGAAGCCCTATGTTCCGCTTAGAACGTGAAGGAAAAAAATGCTTTCAGGCCGACCATCTGATTTTCAGTTTGGAGCCAGAGAAGTCAGGCATTGATAAAAGTCTACAGTAGGCTGCTGGAGCATATAGAAGTACTGACTGACTTGGCAGTAGTGCTGAAAATCCGAATTTTGTTCCTGATATTAAGTGCAGAAGACTTCCAAACTGATTTAGGACTGACAAAGGTCTGTCTTGCTTTTTCGATCCTGACTGAATTTTAAGTTGAAGTTGAAAGGATGCAACCTAGGTAAGTGAAAGTGGTGTGCTTTTGATAAAGTCTCACAGTAATGTTTACAGTAAACATTACTGTATAACACTGTGAGACTTTATCAAAACAAAGTTTATCCACTATGGAATTATACTCTACCACAGTGCACAAGTTTTATTCTTATATCAAAGTGGTGTGAATCTTCAAATTTTTTTTTATTTGATGGTGATTAGTTGTTGATTGTTGCTAAGCTTTAATGTCAACCAGCTCGTAACCTCTAACATTGTAACTCTGTGTGTGTGTCAGAATGCCTTGCCATTTAACTTATTCTTAAGCTATTTCAGTGAAGTTATAAATCTATAACACGTTTTAGAAGGTGATAGTTATTTTGTTTAACATTTGACACTTAAATCACAAGTTTTCAAGATTTGAAACGTTTCATTTGCTTTTATATTCTAAATCGTCTTCGGTTTTAATGTGATA